CCCCCCTCCCCCTTCCTTCCTCCCTTCCTTCCTTCCTTCCTTCCCTTCCTTCCATTACTGTGACGTCAGGACCTGGTGTTCAGGCTTTCCAATATAGGGGGTGGTGGCCCGGCCCAACGAGGTCTCATTTATGTCAGATCCGGTCCTCGTAACAAATGAGTTTGACACCCCTGCTTTAAAATATCTCTCTGAACCATTCAATTATTTTATAGCCCTATTATTTGTGTAAGAAACCCCACCTGAATAATTCAGTTTTGCACAGTTTGGTGGGAAACCTTGAACTGAAGCCAGTAACAACCAATGAAGTGACTGCAGAATGGGTGTCGTGTGTCTGCTCCACCTAATTCCTGAAAATAACGATTCTGCACCAACTGGAATCTCTGAGCTCATTTCCAGGGGAGCCCTATATAGAGAGCATTGCAGTAGTCTAGTATCAATGTTTGGTGTAGTGGTGAAGTGCGCGGACTCTAACCTGGGAGAACCGGGTTTGATTCCCCACTCCTCCTCCACTCGCACCTGCTGGATGACCTTGGGCAAGCCGTGGTCCTGACAAGAGCTGTCCTTGAAAGGGCAGTTTCTCTCAAGAGCTCTCTCAGCCCCGCCTGCCTCACAGGTTCTCTGTTGTGGGAAGGGGAAGGGAAAGGAGTTTTTAAGCCACTCTAAGACACCTTTGGGTAGTGAAGGGCCGGGTATAAATCCAGTCTCCTCCTCCTCTTCTTCTTCAATGTTACTATGGTATTGATCCAGGTGGCTTCTAACTGGAGATGCCAGGGATTGAACCTGGGGCCTTCTGCATGCCAAGCAGAGGCTCTACATGGAGGTTAAGCAGAACAGGCAGGGTTGCCACCTCTGGGTTGGGAGGTTTTGGGGGCGGAGCCTGGAGAGGGCGGGATTTAGGGAGGGGAGGGACCTTAGCAGAGTATAATATCAGAGAGTCCACCCTCCAAAGCTCCCATTTTCCTCCAGGGGAACTGATCTCGTCTGGAGAGGGACTGTAATTCTGAAGAGTTTCCAGGTCCCGCCTGGGGGCTAGCCTCCCCATCAGACTCCTGCTTACCTCCTGCCCACTGTGCTGCCCGCTCTGCCTCTCTGACGTGGGCCGTGCCTCCTTCCTCTTCTCCCCAGGTGCGTAGAAACCCTGATGCTGGCGGGACATTCCCAGTGCGTGATTGTGGAGACGGGGGCCGACCTGCCCAGCCCGGCCGAGATCCAGCAGGCCCACCTCCGACTGTGGGGCCTCAGCCTCTGCCTTGTGGGTGAGAATTAGCAGTGGAGTTCCTCCTCCAAGGTGTCTTGCTTGGGAGCAGGGGAAGAAAGATGGGTGTCGGAGCCAGGGGTCATTTCGTAGAAAAAGAGGTGCAGGAGCTCATTGGCATAACTTATTAGCATAACTCATTTGCATATGCCACACCCCCGGGCATCACCGGAAGTGTGTCAGAAGGCAGCACCCACCACTCAGGCTCCGCTGGACTGTTTTGGATTGCTAGCTATCGGGGGTGGGGGGGAACGTGCAGATCTGCCCTCACAGAGGAGGGAGAGCTTGTACCTGAAGGCAGGCTGGGGGGGGGGCTCTGCAACTTACCTGGCTTCTTCTTGCTCCGTGTGGCCCAACTGAGGGCTGCTGGGAGCAGGGGGCGGGGCTTGTTGCATGTGCCCGCCCCCTGGGTTCCTTACTGCCGGAGCTCCGCTCCTGTGCGCTCCCGCAGGAAATGACCCCTGTTAACGGGTGCTAATCAACAGGTTACCATCAGCTGTGCCAAATTTTTCTCAGTAGCCTGTACAATTCGCAGAGAAATTGTATGCTCAGATTTTAACTAATTGTTGCCAATAGATCGGACCAATTTTATTTTTGTGTGATTTCATTGCAAAGTTTTAACTCTGACATGTACTGGTCGTTGGCCGAATAAAATATTTCTTTCTTTCATACGTGAAGGGTGTAGGCAAGGACAACGCTTATTCTCAAGAATATAGCATAAGGCAGGCTGCAAAGACTTCTGGGATATTGAACCAAAGGGTGGATGTGGAAGCCCATTCAAAACGGTGCTAAGAAAGGCCTCATCTCAGTCATGTGCAATTTCCGCCACAGCAACCCTGAATGTCTTCAGTTCTCAGCCCCTCTGCTGTGTGCTTCCAGCGCCAACGGACCAATGGCAGCCTCTCTTGCCTCATGCAGGGCTATTTTTGTAGCAGGAACTCCTTTGCATATTAGGCCACACACCCCTAATGTAGCCAATCCTTCAAGAGCTTACAGAGCTCTTCTTACAGGAGCTACTGTAAGCTCTTGGAGGATTGGCTACATTAGGGGTGTGTCGCTTAATATGCAAATGAGTACCTGCTACATAAGAACATACATAAGAAGCCACTGTTGGATCAGGCCAAAGGCCCACCCAGTCCAACGCTCTGTGTCACACAGTGGCCAAAAATACCAGGTGCCATCGGGAGGTCCAGCAGTGGGGCCAGGACACCAGAAGCCCCCCCACTGTTGCCCCCCCCCCAAGCACCAAAAATACAGAGCATCACTTGCCCCAGCCTGAGAGTCCCTATCTATACCTTGTGGCTAATAGCCACTGATGGACTTCTGCTCCACATGTTTATCCAATTCCCTCCTGAAGCCGTCCATGCTTGTAGCCGCCACCACCTCCTGTGGCAGTGAATTCCATGTGTTAATCACTCTTTGGGTGAAGAAGGATTTCCTTTTATCCGTTCTAACCCGACCGCTCTGCAGTTTCATGGAGTGCCCATGAGTTCTTGTCTTGTGAGAAAGGGAGAAAAGTACCTCTTTCTCTACCTGCTCTTTCCCATGCATAATCTTATAAACCTCAATCATGTCACCCCTCGGTCGTCGTTTCTCCAAGCTAAAGAGCCCCAAGCGCTTTAACCTTTCCTCACAGCTGCTTATGAAGGACCTGGATGCCGTTTGACAAAGGAGGTCACCTTGCTGGGTTTTCTTGACTCTCTTTTTAGATTCCTTTGCGGCTCCGGCGGATGAGAAGTGGCTCTCCGGCCTGGAAGGGACGCGGTGGCTGGACTACGTGAGGTGAGATGAGCCCCTCAGATGTAGTGGTGAAGTGCGCGGACTCTAATCTGGGAGAACCGGGTTTGATTCCCCCACTCCTCCACTTGCACCTGGCTGGATGACCTTGGGCAAGCCGTAGTTCTGACAAGAGCTGTCCTTGAAAAAGAGCCATTTCTGCCAAGAGCTCTCTCAGCCCCACCTCCCTCACAGGGTGTCTGTTGTGGGGAGGGGAAGGGAAAGGAGTTTGTCAGCCGCTCTGGGACTCCCTTGCATAGTGAAGGGCCATGGGGTATAAATCCAGTCTCCTCCTCCTCCTCCTCCTCCTCCTCCTCCACTTCTTCTTCTTCTTCCACTTCCACTTGCACCTGCTGGATGACCTTGGGCAAACCGTAGTTCTGACAAGAGCTGTCCTTGAAAAAGAGCCGTTTCTGTCAGAGGTCTCTCTGCCCCGCCTACTTCACAGGGCGTCTCTTGTGGGGAGGGGAGGGGAAAGAATTTGTAAGCATATCTGTGACTCTGAGTGAAGGGCGGGGTATAAATCCAATCTCCTCCTCCTCCAGTTTGATGTAGTGGTTAAGTGCATAGTGGTTGAGAGAGCCGGTTTGGTGTGGTGGTTAAGTGTGCGGACTCTAATCTGGGAGAACCGGGTTTGATTCTCCCACTCCTCCACTTGCACCTGCTGGATGACCTTGGGCAAGCCGTAGTTCTGGCAGGGCTGTCCTTGGAAAAGAGCCGTTTCTGTCAGAGCTCTCCCAGCCCCACCTACCTCACAGGGCGTCTGTTGTGGGGAGGGGGAGGGGAAGGAGTTTGTCAGCCGCTCTGAGAATCCTTTGGGTAGTGAAAGGCAGGGTAGAAATCCAATCTCCTCCTCCTCCTCTTCTTCAGTTTGGTGGAGCGGTTAAGTGCGCGACTCTAATCTGGGAGAACCAGGTTTGATTCCCCACTCCTCCACTTGCACCTGGCTGGATGGCCTTGGGCAAGCCATAGTTCTGATCAGAGTTGTCCTTGAAAAAGAGCCGTTTCTGTCAGAGGTCTCTCTGCCCCGCCTACCTCACAGGGTGTCTCTTGTGGGGAGGGGAAGGAAAAGGAGTTTGTAAGCCGCTCTGGGACTCCCTTGGGTAGTGAAGGGCAGGGTATAGATCCAATTTCTTCCTCTTCTTCTCTAATCTAGGAGAACCGGGTTTGATTCCCCACTCCTCCTCCACTTGCAGCTGCTGGATGACCTTGGTCCAGCCGTAGTTCTGACAAGAGCTGTCCTTGAAAAAGAGCCGTTTCTCTCAGAGCTCTCTCAGCCCCATCCACCTCACCGGGTGTCTGTCGTGGGGAGGGGAAGGGAAAGGAGTTTGTCAGCCGCTCTAAGACTCCTTGGGTAGTGAAGGACGGGGTATAAATCCAATCTCCTCCTCCTCCTCTTCTTCAGTTTGGTGTCGTGGTTAAGTGCATGGACTCTAATCTGGGAGAACCGGGTTTGATTCCCCACTCCTCCTCCACTTGCACCTGGCTGGATGGCCTTGGGCAAGCCGCAGTTCTGATAAGAGCTGTTCTCGGAAAAGAGCCTTTTCTGTCAGGAGCTCTCTCAGCCCCACCTACCTCACAGGGTGTCTGTCGTGGGGAGGGGAAGGGAGAGGAGTTTGTCAGCCGCTCTGAGACTCCTTCGGGTAGGGAAGGGCCATGGGGTATAAATCCAATCTCTTCTCTTCTTCTTCCCTCGCCTTGCCTCTTGGAAATCTGCTTGCAGGCAACCCACAGGCCGCGTGGTGTGTGCCTGAGCGGCCTCTTCAGTCAGGGCCCGCGCCAGAGAGCACTAAGGGATGATGGGCATTGGCCAATGGGCAAAGGTCTCAGTGCCCACCTGCCCGGCCTCCCTCGTTCTGTGCAGGGGGTGTTCAGACGCGGCCCAAGAGAACTCTGGGTTTCAGCACCTGGCCTATCCTTCTGGAAGATGGGACCCCCGAGGAGGCCCCGCTGGAAGACCCCACAAAGCTGAAGGCCGGCACCCTCCCTGCCCCCCTCCCCACATGGCTGGATGGTGCTTTGAGTGCCCAAGGCAAGGTCTTGTCCTTCGCCAGAAGGAGAAAGCTCGCTCTGTGTTACCAAACTGGCTCCCAAGGTCGTCCTGCCAGGTGTGTTTAGGGTTGCCAGCTCTGGGTGGGGAAACACCTGGAGATTTGGGGGTCAGAGCCGGTGTTTCCTCCAAGCTGAGTCAGTGTGAGCTAGCTCACAGTTTTTTTAGCCTCCGGCTCACCCGTTGTTGTCCCAGGTCAGGAAGGATGTGGCTCCAGAGCAAGCTAATTCATGCAGTAGCCAAATCGCTCGCTCACAACTTTAATGCCCGTAGCCCACAAAGCAGAATTTTTGCTCACAGGACTCCACGGCTTAGAGGAAGCATGGGTCGGAGCCTGGGGAGGGCAGGGTTTGCGAAGGGGAGGGCGTCAGGTAGCCCTGACCTGGGTCTGGAATGGGGAGGGGTGCCCCTCCCGTTGTCTGTCTCCGCTCTCCCTGGCTCACCAGCTGTTTGCTATTGTATGCTTGACCTTGTAGATGCTCCAGCTGCAGTTTTATCTAGCTGGGAAAGTCAACGGCTTTTGCTTTGCCTGCTTGCTTTGCCCGCGCGCGTGAGACGTATCCATTGGCTCATGCTTACCGGGGGGATGTTTGATTCTAGTATGAGTCAGAGGCCCCAGTATTGGCAGCCATTCCTGACACAAGCTGTACACGTGTCTCTAGGTCTGGATTTACCAATAAACAGTTATCTCCAGCTGCAGTTTTATCTAGCTGGGAAAGTCAACGGCTTTTGCTTTGCCTGCTTGCTTTGCCCGCGCGCGTGAGACGTATCCATTGGCTCATGCTTACCGGGGGGATGTTTGATTCTAGTATAAGTCAGAGGCCCTAGTATTGGCGACCATTCCTGACACAAGCTGTACACGTGTCTCTAGTACTGGATTTCACCAATAAACAGTTATCTTCTCGTGAAGCCCTGTGTTGAGTAACCTGGCTAAGGACCCTGACAGAGGGAAGGGACCTCAGCTGGATATAATGCCAGAGAGCCCAACCTCCAATGCAGCCATTTTCTCCAGGGGAACTAAGAGGGTCTAGGGGGGCCAGCTTTGGGCTAGGAAATACCTGCAGATTTGGGGGGGGGGGGTGGGGCCTCGGGGGGGTGGGGTTAGAGGGAAGGGACCTCAGCTGGATATAATGCCAGAGAGCCCAACCTCCAATGCAGCCATTTTCTCCAGGGGAACTAAGAGGGTCTAGGGGGGCCAGCTTTGGGCTAGGAAATACCTGCAGATT